GGCCGATTTCAGCATTATCCTGATGACGTCTTGGATCAAGTCTCCTGGGGGCCATAAAAAGGGGCGGCGCGCTAGAGCGAAGGTCGCGCGTTCAGTAGCGGAGGCAGCCAGAGTTTGGACTTCTTCTGCGTGTGTCCTACGCTCGAAGCTTTGGTGGATTCCATGTCAGCCCAGTATGATGCCCCGAGTGGAGTTCATTTCCCTTTCAAGACGCGGCGCAGCCTGGCCGCGCAGGAGATGAGCGGTGGAGGCCGCGGGCAAGTGCCAGAGGCTGCCCATCGCGCCCATGCCGTGGCCGTCCAAAGCCTACCTGGAGGGGCTGGGGGGCCCGCGTAACGAGCGCGTTCGACTTCGGGGGGGGCCAGAGATCCCTGACAGCTGCTATGGCGATTCTGCGGGCAAGTCGTGGACACAGCTGAAGCAACTCACTGGTGGCGCGGCCGGAGGGCCGCGAGGTGGAGCTCCCCGATCTTACGCACGGAAGCCGGTTCCTCCAATTCTGCTCACCGGGTTTCATTTGTGCGAACAACGTTAGCGATGCATGGGTTGGGCAGCGAATCGCCTCATGGAGCGGCGGGCGGTGATCAGCAACCCCGACGTGCGTCTTTTTCGGCGCCTTGTCCCGGCCCGCCTCGGAGCTCCCGGCCTCGCCCCCCTTGGTTCGCCGCGGGGTGCTCTGCCTGATGTGGCCGCCTTCGCCCGGCATCTTCGAGGCCCCCTCCGCCCCCCCCCCCCCGCGCGTGCTCGGGGGGGCGCTGGGCGGATTGGCGCGCCGAGGCAACGGGGGGGGCGGCGTAGAACTCGCCCGCGAGTATTTTAAGAGGCGATCCCCGGGCGCGCCCCGATCTGGAAGGGCAGCCTTTCCCTGCCTCGCAGGTCTCGCCCTCCCTCTCTCAGAGCGTGAATCACCTGCCCCGCTTTCGCTTCCAGGCAAAACCAAGCCATGCCACGCGCCTCCTCGTCAAGCGGCCTGACCAGCACAGGCCGCAGTTTGGCATCGCTTGGTATCTCTTGGAAGCGAGGGCGGTCAACAGCGAGGTAGGCTTGGTTTCCCCCTAATATCATCTTTTTTTCCAGAATTCACGGCTGTGCGCCCTGGCTGAAATACACAGCATCGTCATCTCCCTCCTCCCCTCGTCCTCCCGGCGCGCACTTGGCGCGTCGTCGCCTTCTGTCTTGTCGCGCGTTTTGCGCCTCCTGTCCTCCTGTCGCGGCGTTTTCCCCCTTCCTCTCGGCTCGTGCTCCTCTGGGGGCTCCGGGGCGCACCTGGGAGCAGGCTCGCGGGGCCACTTGGGGGCCCCGGCCTCGGGCCCCACCTGGGGCCCCCCCGCTTGCGGCCCCAGGCCTCGCCAGCACTGAGCACATTAGGCTCGGGAGGGGAAAAAACACACAGACACAATTATTCGTCGGTTCCCAGAAAATATGCGAAAATATGGGAAGTGGGGGGGAAGACAGAAACATCGAACATATGGGGAAAATGTGGGGAATCTGTTTTATTTGTGTGTATTTGTTTGTGTGTCCCAGGGCCCCTTCACATTAGGCATTGTTCCCGAAGGTTGAGGGAAGCGACGTGCAGGCCTGAGCGACATCGCCCTCGGCGTTGCGCGTCGCTCCGCGACCGCGCGTTGTGCCGCTTGCCTTCGCCGCTCCACTCTATGGGCCCAGCCGGCGATGGCGCCGATGGGGGGCCCGCAGTCTCGACGCGCCCCTGATGGCCGAGGATGGCGCGGGAGGCCCCGGGCGCCAGATGGAACGTTTCAACGGCGCCCCGCGGCTCCTTGGAGCAGCCATTGAAGGAAGGGCTCGGGCGCGAGAGGCGGAGTTCGGGATGGGGGGGGGGTGGGGGGGGGCGCTTCCTGGCGCGGGCGCGAGAGGCGGAGTTCGGGATGGGGGGGGGGGGGGGGGCGCGCTTCCCGGCGCCTGAGCGCCGCCCCCCGCCCGGTTCTGTCTGGCGAGCGCTGGTCCGCCAATGATGGGGAAGGGAGCGCGAGCTTCGCGCGCCCCGCCTCCTGTGGGACCCAGAGCAATTTTGCGAACATGTGCCCGTGGGTGGCTTGCGCGGTATGGCATACCAGATGATGTCCCCTCGCTTCCCGCCCTTGGGCTCGGGCACCGAGCGACGGCGGCACTGTCGGCGCGGCCTCTACGAGGCTAAACGCATCCTGGAGCCAAGAATGGACACGCGCGCCGCTCACTGGGCGGAGAACGCAACCTTCACTCCCAAGCAGGTGCATGCCCTTCGAGGGGCTGGAGCTAGGGCCAGTGGCATAGCGTTGAGAGGGGCGTCGGCTGATTTGGTTTGGGCGTTGTCTGGGGCTCGTGATCCTTTGGATGTTCCTGCCGTGCCGCTTGTCCGCTATGCAAAAGAATTGTGGAGACGCTCGGCGAGCCTCGATCACCAGGGCCAGCACGTGCACGAAGACACGCTGAGGGCAGATGTGCTGTCTCAAACGTTGAATGCAGCTTTGTCCAGAATTAGTGGGGCCCCTCGAAGGAGGCGGCTCGACAAAAGCAAGGGACACATCTCCGATGCCATTATGTGGTTCCAGGACGTTGGCTGGGAAACGAAGGGCCCAGCTAAGTGTGTTGATAGTCGAGGCGCGATATTGTCGTCATCGCCCATGGCCCAGCTTCTGTGCAAGAGCCGTTTGCAGGAAAGATGAAGAACAAACTCACCCAGCAGGCAGCGCATGGCAAGTTTGAGGCGACCAGGCCTGGCTGGCCCGAACTCCTGGAGCGGGGTCTCTGGTGGGAGATTCCGCGCAAGGATCTTGCACCTTCGAAGCTAGATCTAAGTGCATCCTAGGCGATGCTTAAGAAAACTTACGTTTTTGGCCAGAGTCTCGATTACTCTTAATGTTTCAATGTAAATCCTAAGAATTTAATAGAAATTCTCGGTTTTTATTCAAATTCTGAGACTCTGAATTTCTTAACCCATGATTTCTTAAGCATTTCGCAGAGGGTGTGTTCGCGAAGTGGCCCTTGCTGGACTGATGTTCGCCCGCCCCCGCCCGCCTCGGGCCCGGCTCCAGACGCGGGGCGTCGACAGCGAGACGGCGCGTGAGTTCTGCGGTCGCCCTGACACGGCTTGGCACCGCATTTGGCTGCGTAGCCACAGCCAAAGAGGAGGAGGAGGAGGAGGAGGAGGAGGAGGAGGAGGAGGAGGGGGAGGAGGAGGAGGAGGAGGAGGAGGAGGAGGAGGAGGAGGAGGAGGAGGAGGAGAAGGAGCAGGAGGAGGAGGAGGAGGAGGAGGAGGAGGAGGGGGAGGAGAAGGAGCAGGAGGAGGAAGAGGAGGAGGATGAGGAGGAGCTCGGCAGGATGACCCAACGAGCGGCCGAGGCTCGAGAAGGGCACCCGCTCTTCAAGTTGTTTGGCTGGTGCGCTCACTGCGACCCCCCTCAACCTCACTCCGGATCGCAGATCTGTTTTTGGATGGCTGTGCTAAACCGTGCGTGTTGTTTTATTTTGAGGCAGGGGCCAGACTCTGTTCTGACGGGGGCTGCCAGCACCCGAGGTTCCCTGGCCCGAGCAGGCTGTGCCGCTGTCCAAGTAGAAGACGAAGGCAGGCTCGTGAATTGTTTTTGTTGTCTCCCGTTCGCGCGTTCCCAGACGGCCACCTCTGGAGAGCATGCGGGAGCTGTGTTCGCAACAGTCTTCAGCGAGGACGGACCTGAAATGTCTGATGTGTTTGTGGATTGCATGGCCCTTCGTGGGAAACCCTCGGTTTTGTTTGACCCGAAATGTGTTCAGGGCCACCTCTGAAGGGCGATCAGTGGGGTGGCGGGTCCGAGTCGCGTTGTGAGTGTTGTCCACGGGAAGGCCCACAGGAGTGACCATCAAGCTCAGAATGAGGCCGATGAGCTCTTTATCCAGGGTAACAGATTAGCCGATTATCACGCTAAGCGTGCGGCTAACTTTACCCATCGGTCGTTGAAAGTGGGTAGTTTTAAAATCCAGTCTGCAATCTACTTTAAGTGCCTTCTACTTCAATGATCGAGTGGTTTCACTTTTCCCTTCATCTCTAGGGGGCGGGCGGACGCCCAATCTATTTTCAACGCCTTCCTACTTCGTGTTTCTACGTATTTCTTCCGACCGATGGGTGGCAATCCCAGTGAAGCCGAGCACTCTCAGATCACCCGGACTCTGAAAAGGCGTGCCTTAAGCTTGTCAGGGGTGCCGTCGAATGTCTCGCGCGTTTGCCCTAGCTACACGAGCAGCTAGGACAGTATGACAGGATAATTGGTGCGCGCAAGCTCCGATCCCTGCCCTTGCCCCGCCATTAAGATCGTCCCGTGGAGTTTGACCTGTAAATTCTAGCGCCGACTCTGCTTGAGGCGTTCGGGGGCAAAGAGAGCTGGGCCGCGTCGGGGGATGAACGCTTCGTTGACATATTCCGCTGGGATGTATCACCGTATGAGCCATTCTCTTATGATTTCCTGGGTTATCGGGCCCGAGATGCCGTGAATTTGGCGCAGCAAGTGTGGGGGAGGTGCATCGACCAACGTGGGCCCCAGGCTCGGAGGGAATTGCAGACCGTTTGGGGATCTCGGAGAGCATCGCAAGTTTCGCAGGGGGGGAGCTGCCGGGGACGGACTCGCAGCCAGATCCGCCTCGGCCCGTTCCGTCTGCGTAGCTCTCATCCGGAACCTTCCTTGAATCTCAGGGCTGCGCTTGCACGGCACTTGGGACGAAACTGGAAACGAGGAGGAGGAGGAGGAGAAGGAGGAGGAGAAAGAGGAGGAGGAGGATGGAGGAGGAGGAGAGGAGAGGAGGAGGAGGAGGAGAGGAGGGAGCGGAGGAGGAAGGAGGAGGAGAGGAGGAGAGGGGGAGGAGTGGGGGGGGGGAGGAGGAGGAGGAGAGAGGAGGAGGAGGTAGGAGGAAGGAGAGGAGGAGAGGGAGGAGAGGAGGGAGGAATGAGGTAGGAGGAGGAGGAGGCGGAGGCGAGGAAGGGGGGAGGACGCCCCCACGAGGCGACGGGGGCCCGGGCCCGGCCCGGCGAGGCGGCAGCCGCCCGAGCCCCGGTGGCACGCAGCTGGGCATGCAGATGCAGAGCCGGCTGGTCCCCGACGCGCCCCTGTCCCGCCCTGGCCCTCCGGGGAGGACAAGATTACGGTAGGTTTGCGTCGTGTCGACCAGCGGCGACCCCAGCGCGGGCGTTCAAGGTTGAACGCCGCCGGCGACCCAGAATCGATCGATGTTGAACGATCGGACGTTGCGGCAGCGGCCGATCGTTCAAGGTTGAACGATCCCCGAGGTGACAGAAACCATCGCTGGGGTCGGCACGACACGAACCTGCCGTA